CAAGCCAAAAGTAGATACTGCTTTTGAGAGGCTGTGAAGATATTGTGTCTCTTAAACAAAAAAGTGAATCTTTGGTCAGTTCAGTGCAAATGAAACCCACCTCAAAATGCCGTTTATTTTTTGTATGTTACGTCTATTATAATTCCATGCAAATACAGACTTTCATACTGTGTAAAATCGCCATTTTGTTGCTTTGCATTTTCAACTTCTTTTGATATTCACACAAGGTGCGCTTCTGATAATCATCTGTAATTCCACTGATAAATCAGTCATACAGGAAGAGAGCGATGCCTAAAGACTTTCCAAGAGCTGTAATATTCAGTAGCACATCGCTCCCATGATATTATTCCCGCTTTAATAGCAAAAGCATTGCTTTTCAAGAAGAATCAAATCACAGAGACAATGCAGTTCATATTTTGCAACAAAAAAGCATTAACAATGCCTGTTTGGCTTTCTTCTCATGTGTCTTTTATGTCAGTGAGTAATTCACTTGTGCAATGTAAACACATCACTGCAAAGTGCAAACACAGTAATACTCAAAAGTTACAGATAAAAATGAGAGATGCAGTATGCTAGCAGGGTACTAATCAGGTTGGTTCTGTATCTCAGATAACCCCAAGCCAATTCCAAACCTGTTTCCCTTTTATTCTTTATGTGTTTTACCTTTTCTGATGTTATGTGCAGTTTAAAAAATTCAGTGATTAGGTTATCAGAGTTTGGACAGATGCCTAGGAAGGTATTACTGATTAACACTGTATTAATCAATAAATTTTACTATAAACACAGTCCTCTACTTTGTTGGTTGACACTTGCAGCTATTCATGATGAAATCCTGCTTTCTTTTACAGTGCCAAAAAAGAGATTCCATCAATAGGCATGAAGATACTTTATGTCCATAGACAAAGGAAAATAAGGTCATTATTTGGCTTATGAAAATGTAAACCCACTTAAATGAAGTACTTAGGTAATGACTCACCTGTGTGCTTTACACCACCATTTTACAGCATATAGAGTCATTTAGCTCATTTCAGTGCAGGTGGATGTAAAGAGGCAATAAATGAAATAAGGCTGATAAAGAAGTCCACCTCTGTGCATGGCTGTCTTTCTAAAAAAAGGGGGTTAGCCATCTTTGTTTCACTGTGTCACCACATAACAATCATGGCAGTCATTAGCTCAAATGATGCTTTTAATTTCCTTTACATTTTGAAAAGTCTCACTTTTTAAATTTTCCACTAACCTAAATATAATGCTGGTAGTCATTTACAACTGACTTTGGCTGGGATCCCACTACAACCTATTATCTATATGGTGGGATCTGTTTACAGGTAGCATTAAGAAAATCTGTGTGTATGATTAATGTGATTAAGAATCTTCCTATATGTGGGGTTTAGAAAATTTACGAGGGGGCCACATACATTTTATTGTTTTTCAGGGCAGCTATTGTTTTTATGCTGTATTTTTATGCAGCTAAATCTTTGAGACCCTAATTTTGATTAGGAACTTTTAGCAATGCCATGATTGGTAACATTAATATAGTGCAAACCCATAGCATAACGTCTGATGGCTCAACTGCTTCAAATATTTTTTTTCAATCTGCTGTCCCATGAATTAGTGCTAAAATAAACTGTGCTAACTTCAGCCTTTTTTAAAGCACCACTGTAGCTGTGTAATAAATCTTGAGAAGGCCAACAATTAATAATTAAAAATTACAGAGATTTGATTGAATTTCAGTAGCCGTTTTCTGAACCTTGTGATACCGCTGAGCTCCCAACACCACCAAACAGATCTTACCCACAGACAAGTGCCATCTATCGATACAAAAGGTGTATTTGAGTTCAAGAAGCCAAAAATGACAAAAAATGGCCCCAGCCTGCCACCTGCTGCTGTACAGAATTACTTCAAGAAACGTTATTTGCTGGGCTTTGCACTGACTCAACAAAACCCACTCCTGTGTGAACCGGATTTAACAAAAGCCTGCCCCTTCTACAAGTGTGCTTTGGCATTTCAAAAGCGTCGGGCAAGATTAAAATAATGGGAATGTTTTGTGCATTTGAAAATATAGCACTTAAACCTAAGATGCTGTCTTGGAGGGCTCTAGTACTTTGAAGTCCTGGTGTTGCTAAGTCAGATGCCTGATGGGGTTTGTGCAAGTTTCTGCTCCTGCAAGGGGACTGTGTGATGAAAACTCAGCTTGTATTAAAAGCAGCTGCCTGGTGCCTGCAATTGTATGGTTAAAGGCTAGCTAGATCTCACTCATCTGAATAAAACCACCACCACCAACTAAAAAACCCCAAGCCAGCCCAAACCCCACCTGCATATGAACCCACACTATTACTTTGACATCCCATGGTTCAGGCAGCACAGGCTGATTTTTGAATGTTGGCTTCGAACAGTAAGATTTAGGTCACTTACTGGTTTTGAGGGGTGGCAGTTTTAGTACCGAGTACTTTGCTTACACACATCAGTGTAAATTTTGGGTTTGGAAAATGCTTTTAGCTTCCTAGAGATTGTTCTAAGTAAAATGTCACAGTGGATGGGCCAAAATGCTAAGCATACCAATTATAGTAAATAATATGGTACAGGCTATACAATTCTTCGCTATTCTTTGTGGCCTCAGTGTTAAGGGATGGAATTATTCTCTTATTGACAAGCATTATTGGTGGGTCTTGTGCAGCACTGCACTTTCTTGATCACTTCTCTATATAATTCCATCCCGGGAACAGCTTGTTCTGTCAAAATGCCCGAGTCTCTGGTGTCACCTTGAGACAGGGGCGTCACAGAATAACAGCATGGTTCGGGTTGGAAGGGACCTTAAAGCTCATGCAGTTCCAACACCCTGCCATGGGCAGGGACACCTTCCACTAGACCAGGTTGCTCAAACATAGATTTTACCACTGCCAGGGATGGGGCAGCCACAGCTTCCCTGGGTGACCTGTGCCAGGGCCTCACCACCCTCATAGTGAGGAATTTCTTCCTGGTATCTAAATCTCCCCTCTTCCAGCTTGAAGCCATTTAGAGGCTTTAAGAGGCCATTGAAGTGGGTATGGCAGCCCTCAGGGGACCCGCAGCTGCCCCGTGAAAGGCGTGGAGGGGCGAGGAGGAGAATCCCCCACCCCCGCTAGGCAGGTACCCTACCGTCAGCGGGTGCATCAGGACAGCAAGGCGCCCACACACCCCTTTCCCCGCGGCGCCATGGCCGCCGGGGGAGGACGCAGCGTGCGCATGCGCCCATCCCGCCCCGGGCTCCGCCCCTGTGCCCGCTCGCTGTTGCTGTGGGAGCTGTGGGGTGCGGGTGCGGCGGTACCGGCCGTGGCCGTGTCCGTTCCCGTCCCCGTTCCTCAGGGCTGCGCGGTGGCGTTAGCTCCCCGGCGGTGGCGGTGACCGGGTACTGCAGCCCCAAAGGCCGCGACGGGGGCGAGGCCGCTGGTCGGGCTGGGGTAAGCGAGGGCCGCCGCTGCCGCCGCCCTCCGGCCGGCCGTGCCAGCGGTGCTGCTCGGCCTGCAGGTGTGCGGCCAGAGCATAGCTTGGTCTGTGCAAGGTAGGGCCTTCTCTGAACGGGCAGAAGCGTATTTCTGTTTCATTGTTGTTAAAATCACTTAGCGTGAAGTTTAATAATACGATGAAAAGTGTTCTTGCGGCAGAGAACGCATTAATCTTTAAAGACAGTTAACTGTAATCTGTTGTGCAGAACATTTCCAATGAGCTGGCGAGGGATTTATTTCCCCCTTTTTCCAGTTTGTTTATGATACATACAGAGATTGGAGCACTGTTTTTTACCTAGCGTGAAATACATATCCTGAATTTGGGGGGAGGGAAGAAGGAAACAGTAAATAAAATGTACTGCTGTTGTAGTCATAGTTTAAAGTTATTAAAATAGCATTCTTTTTTTTCCAGATCATGTTGTTACTTTTCAAATGATACATACTATTTCTGCTTTGTGGTTACTGTCAGCTTTCTACAGGTTGTAGAGGCTAAATGTTTTCTAAATATATTAAGTTCAGGTTTAAAACATTTCAGATAGTTGAGTGTCTGTAGCATCAGAAGTCTGGTTTAGACAAGGCTGCAGTATATGTAATAATCACTGTGACCACTGGACCCTTAAATGCACAATACACGAACATCACCATTGTTTTCTATGAAGATAATGCGCAGCTAGACTGTGTTGCAAATCTTATTTCTTCTGTTTTTGAGATGGTATATTATCTATCTCAGCATTAATTCAGTATTTGGACTCAATTTGAAACACAAGTAGGCCATGGATATACAAATTTAAATATGTGCAAAATTGTGGCTTTTGCTTATATCTGCAAATTCTCTGCTACTGATGTGTGCTTTGATTTAGCAAGGGAAAGAATTTAAGGAGAAAAGCTTTTCAATGCATCGTTCACCCATTGCTCCTCACTCAAACCAAGTTATTTTTCTCCAGATTTGTTGCTGTCACAGGGCATAAAAGTTAAGATTTTTTTTTTCTTTAATCTTTTGAGTTACAAGCCAGAACTTCCCTATATTTGCAAGCCTGCAGAGGAGAGTATTGATATTTAGAAGGTGGACCTGAATTATCAATTACATTTGTTATGAAACACAGAGTACTTACAGTTTGCCATTGTTTCCAGTGTAGGATGAGACATTTATTTCTTTTTTGTACTGGAATAACAACACAGTCAAGACTGTGGTTGTTACAGCACCTGATGACAACATGAACATTTAATTCAAATCTGCAACTTAAGAACAAACTTACATATCTAAGCTTATTCTTTCCTGTCATCCCTGTGCTGCTGTGGGAAACATCAGCTTGTCGTTGCTTCTGGTTACCTTGTTTGTGAACAAGGTGTGAAAGCTGGCTAACAGTTGTACTTGTTTAGGGCTTCTGTAGCCAAAATTTTGTCATACTCTTAGCTGTATTTTTTCATATTGCGTGTGAAATACGATCTCACATAAAAGACTCTCTCTCCAGTTTTTGTTGGTTTGTTTTTTGTTATTTTTTTTTTTAACTTTTTTAAAAAGCAGTATTATTTATTGCAGGAATAAAAGGTTTTTAAAAATCCCTGTGTTTCATGTGGAAATTGTATATCTTTAGACTTTTTTTAGATTCAGTTATTTTAGTGATTGTTTATGTTAACCTACAATGACAAAATTCTCCGAAGAATTTCATGTTCTGTAGTGCTTATTAATACAATAGAGACAGAGGCAGTCAGCTTTTATCAGTGTGCAAAAGTACTTGACCTTAACACAATAGGAGTGTATTCTTGTAAGTCTTAAGGGGGAATTACTGTTTCTCTAGAAGGAAACAAATCATGGCTGACGACTCTCAGAGAAACTTTCGCTCAGTATATTATGAAAAAGTGGGGTTTCGTGGAGTTGAAGAAAAGAAGTCACTGGAAATTCTATTAAAAGATGACCGGCTGGGCAAGTTGATTTCACTGTTTCCTCTATTTGCTTTGGGGATTTGGTGATGGGGAGGGAAGAACAGGAAATGTTTAGCTGCTGTGCTTAGTACTAAAATGTTTTTTTTTTTTAACTATTAAAGATTTGTGTCTCCCTGTTTTTTTTTCCTCCTCTCATTCTGTGCCCAAGAAACTAAAAGTTTTTTAATAAAAGTAGTTTTAATCTGAGAATGTATTGTCTCATGCTGTTAACTCCATCTAACCTCAAAACAATGAAGACTTCATTATTATTGTTGGTCCCTGAGGAGTGCCACATCTCTAACAGAATAGAAAGTTAAATGTTCTTTTAACGAAGCCCTTAATTGTTTTGAAATAGCAACATGATCTACAAACTGTCCATAAAAATGGTAGTTTGTTCCTAGTGAACCTTAGGGTAGTCTTATTGTAAATCAAGCCAATGCTTATATTTTTCAAGATTGTTGCAGTTTATAGGACACATCCTGTTCTCACTTGAAGTAGTGAAAGTGTTTGCTGATAATATATGAGGAAAGTGGGGATTTCCATCTGCGGCAAAGGATTTGTCATGCTTAGGTAGATCAGAGACTCAAACTGATTTATAAATGACATTTAAATTTAACTATTTTTTTTTCCTCTTTATATCTCTACAGATATTGAGAAGCTTTGCACATTTAGTCAAAGGTTTCCTCTTCCATCCATGTATCGCATACTGGTGTGGAAGGTGCTTTTAGGTATGAAGTATAACGTCTGTGATACTCTGTAGAAATGAGCATATAGGAAAGTATATTTTTTTTTTCCTTTGGAGAATTAATGATACAGATAATTCTATCCTACCATACCTACTGATACATAGTTACTCTATCTTGTGTCTCCCTAGGATGTCTAGTGGCAGATATAAAACAATATTCCATGTGTGGTTTCTGAGAACTTTTGCTGAAGTGTACCTAGGAGAGTGTATTTCTGTATTTTAACTTTGTAACACTGTCTCAGCAAATTTATAAGATGGATTTGAAAGGTGGATTATAGTAAGTTGCTGATACCTGATAAGATACTCAGATTTGTTCCTAAAATAACAGACAAGGAGTTGAAGTAAAGGTGTGATTGAATTTAGAAAAACTGGGCAAGGTGTGGAATGGATGTTTATTGTAAAGAGAAACTTTGTGTTCTGGAAAGTCTTCTGGGTTTGAGTCTGGCTTTAAATTGTACTTGAAATTGAAGAAGCTGCGAGGCAAGAGATTAAATTACGGTATCCCTCGGAAAGCATAGAAAAGCCCATAAATAGATTCTGTTATCCTTTAAGTGCATTAGTTAGATGACCAACTCAAAAGTACTAATGACTTTGCAGTAACTGGTCAAGAGTGTTGGGTTTATGAGATGTGAGGTTGTGTTGCTTGGAGACAGGAGGGGTATCTAGAGACTTTCCCTAAGAGTTTGCTGCATTTAGAGAAACACTGTTAGATGGAGTGTGAAGGAACAGCATCCGACTGAATTTCTCAAAGAGAAATGTAATTTACAGTACCGTTGGTGGTGAAGTGTTGTGCCACTTTTGAAAACCTTGAGTGTGGCTCCCATGTCTTGCATTATTACCAGGGCTGTGCTGGCAGGAAAGGTGCTGATTATGCAAAATGTTGTTTCATCAGGGGGAGACCAGCAGCATCAGTTTGCAGATTGGCTTGGAAGCTGCTGTCTTTTACTGTCTGTGAACTGTTTTACTTCTTTGTCCTTTGGCTTTCCAGAATATGCGATATAGCTCCCATATATATCTCCTATTAACAAGATTTTGGCATGTGAGTCAAAGTTGGAAAGACTGGTGATTTCATAATACTTTCAAATAAATACTTTCTGTCTCTGTTTTAGGTCTCCCTGTTCCACTACAGTGACTGGAGTTTCAAATAATGCATTAGAAAATGTTAGCCGAGTTGTAAACAATCTTTTTCTCCCTTTTGTTTTTCCCCTCCAGTTTAAAAATTGTAGCTTCATATTCCTGATTATTTGAGTTTTTAAGTCTTTTGGGGAGAGGTAGTAAATGAACAGTGTGCAGAAGGTGCAAGATCTAATTATAAAACTTGGAAGTTCTTGGCATTGATTGTTGAACTAACTGTAACGGAGGCTTGATAAAAGCCTCTGCCATTAGAGTACTAATTCCAGGGTGAAAAAGATTCTTGTACTCTAGGCACTAGTTAAGTAGTACGCATCCTTTAAAATATTAGTAGTAGGTAATATAGTGTAGGAGGCTTGTACAAGTGACTCAGTAGAAGTTCCTTCAGCCAAAATTATAATAGTGTAATACAGTCTCTTAGCAAAATTGTAGCAGAGTCAGTGGTCTTTGACTGTTTTAGATAGGGTGATTTCTGATTTGTATGGTACCTTACCTTCTGAGTTAACTGTATGAAAAATTGTATTGATTTTTTTAAAAGAATTTTGTATTTTAAACCCAGGGTGATTTGTTTCAAATACGCATATGGTGAACAGAAGTACCAAGACTTCTCTTACAATGGATCTCACTGTTAACACTTGTTAGAAAAGCTTATATTCAGAAGGGAAGTACAAAATATCTCTCCCTAGATGACTAGAACAACATCCCAGTCCATTTCTGGTGGGAGGCATTACATCTCCGCTAAATAATGTTAATAGTTTAACAAAAGGAATTCTATTCTGTGAGCAAAATTATCTCACAAAACAAAGCTTGGTGCTGTCCCAGTATACATGGTATGTCAGTGATGTCTCTGTTAACTTCCTGTGTAGTATGACTCATGGTGTTTTCTAGACATCTCTGAATTGTTTAAGCCTATTGTCTGTCTGCCTAAGGTAGTTTTCTGTATTTGAGGAAAGCAGTTGGTGGTGTGTACATACAAAGTTATGATGTTGACTCTGTTTTTGCATAACATGAAAAATGTCTTGTTTTGTTCCAACTTTTGAAATGCAGACAGGTTTATAGTTGGAAAATAAAGATGATTTTCTGTCAGATGTGCGTATTACTAAAACTCAGCCATTTCCTGGTTTAACACTTGGCAGAAATACTTTTTTCTTTCAATGAGAAATAAAGGCAGCAGGTGGCCTGTTTCAGGACTGATTTTTGAAGAGTACTTTGTTCTCATGGCTTTCTAAAACAGGAAAAATTCTGCTCCACTGGAAGTGGCATTTTGTTCTTTGGTGTATGTAAGATCTTATTTCTGTTGAAACCTATGACAGTTTTGTTTGAACATATTCGCATAGCAAGATTGAGTTTTGAGCAAGGAGAAGGATCAAGTGAAATGTTGAGCATCTCTTCTGGAAGTCATAGTTTAATTTTTTTCTGCCTCTCTACTTGGATACTTCCCCTCAACAGCCTTTTTTTTTTATCCTCCTAGGAAACTAGAAAAATATTGGTGTTGTGCTAAGAAAGTATGGAATGTTACCTTGCAAAGTATTTGCATGATATTCTTAAGTTTTAATCTGTAATTGATTCAACCTGTGTGATTGACTTTGCTTCTAAATCTTGTTTTAGAGAGGATTAATCTCCGATACAGTGAGTATAGGATTTTCTGGCAAGATCTAACAGTAAATTGGATAATACTGGAATGTACAGTATCTTTGCGTGCATGTGTATATTCTCTGGTCATCCCAGACAAAGTGTTGAATTTGAGAATATGCACAGCTAATGTATATAAAAATCATTCTGTGCTGAGTTTGTTTTCAAAATAAATACATAAAAATATATCTGGATATATTATATTACTGTATTAAAAACTACAGGTGGCTATAAACAGGTAAGATTTACAATTTAAAGATACAGGTTGTTGGAGGAGGAGAATAAGCCAGTCAAATTATTTTTTTATCTATCCCAACAATGACATTTCTTACCAGAGCATTGCTGTGGTATGCAAAAGAGTTAGTGTTCTGAAAACCTTGTAGAAGAGCTTGAGAAGCAGTAATCTAAGGGTAGATTTTGCTTATACTCAGTTAACATATAAAATTTGTTTTTATAAATATAATGCTAAAGTGCATTGTTTGTTCATTGACTTCCAGTTTGGTAGAATTTTCTCCCTGTATTCTTTGACCAAGTTTATAAACAAACTGCAGTGCCAGGTCCTACAGTTCTGTAGGCTCGAGTTGTAATAGAAATTGAATTTAGGCAGATCTCTTGAAAAGGGAGTTTGTGCTCAGCTTTTTGTCTTTACAGTTGCTTATCTTTTTTCCTGTTTTGCTTTTTAGGAATTATTCCTCCTCACCATGAGTCTCATGCTTTGGTGATGAAGTACCGGAAGGAGCAGTACTGGGATATACATCATGCTCTCCGTGTCATTCGTTTTATTAATGATTCTACCCCACAGGTAGATGTTTTCCTCCGCATACATCAACTGGAATCAGGAAAACTGCCTCGAAACTTGGCTTTTCCATTGGTCAGTTGTCATTTTAACAGTCTTTTAAATATAGTATTATTTAACTTCAAACTATAAACCTGTGAAAAACCGAACTGCAGGTAGCCCCACAAATGCATGTAGATAGGCAAAGTAAGGTGAATGGAAACCAGAGAAGTACTAGTATGAAATTACAAGGGATTCTTGGGGATTTTAGTTGAAGTGCTATTCTCTTTTTCTTCCCCTGTGTACTTACTTTAAATTTTATGCCTTAAAATCTCTTTTGTGTATTTTGCCTGTTAGGTTTTCAAGCCTTTTGTATTCCTTGCACCGTACAGTTTCTTTATAGTACTGAAATGAAAATGACGGTCTTACTAGAGCTCATAGATTCTTCAGTGTCCTGGAACAAGGATAATTCAGAGCCAGTACAAGCAGCAATTTATTGCAGATTACATTGTATATTTAAATCATTTGGTTTTAAATCTAGACTTTAATTTACTGACCTCCTTTTCTGTTAGGGTGAACTTATCCAGGTTTCTGTGAGGTCATGTGTTGTGTAGTTTAGAGAATACTCACATAAGGGTAAACAAATCTATGGTTTGATGATAAGTCTGTAGTGTGGTGATGAAAGCAATGTGTGGATCTTGTGTATAAGCCTGTATGACAGAGCAGGTGATGAAAGGACCCATGGGACTTTCTGAAGTGAATTTTATCCTGTATTTAATGTTAATTTAGCCATGGCCCAACTTACTTTGTTATTTCTGACACATGTAAAATCTGACACATGGTTTTAAAGTTGAAAAAAAAAAAAGTTAAATGAACTCAACATGGAAAATTCAGTAAGGCTTTGGAGGATTATATACAGCTTTCTCTTTTTAGAGGAGGGAGAGTGTTTTCTTGCCTTTAGCATTACCTGGGAATGTGGCCATCCTGCCATACAGGTTTCCTATAGAGAAATTTCCTTGATTTTGGTATGTGTCCTAGTGGGCTGAAATTCATCCCTTCTGAAGCAGCACTACTTTCTGATCAGGTGTCAGTGCATCCTAGAGCACTAGCTGCTGTCAGTCCTGTTATGGGGTTTCATGGAAATGGTGTTCAGCAAATTAGACCTGTAACTTATTTTTGTTTTGCTGCAGAAAGCATTTGTTCTCTATATGACAGCCTCTTTTCAGTGCAGTAACTGTCCTCTTAAACTTACAAGAGGTCACTGTTAGATAGTAATGCAGATGTTTTATTGTGGAGGCAGGGGGAGTATAAAGGTGATGTTGGATTGGTCTCAACATTTTAAACGTTTGAGTAAGAAATCACAGAAGTCTGCTAAGTATGTTGTGTGCATCTGTAAGAAGCGAGTTTAAGTAGGGGTATGTGTGTATTGCATCAGTCCATGTAGCAGAGGCATATCGCAGAAGTATTTGGACTATCCACTCATTTTGCACAAGTTATAATCTGTGCAAAAGCCTGTGTTACTGTAGTTTACTGCTACTGGAGGTTACAGTAGATCAGACTGTGGATACCTGTCTGGCTTGTTGCCCTGCCTCTTAATGTGGTCAGTACTGCCTGTGTAAAGACGACTGTAAGAAACAGGGCAAATTTAAGAGATTTGCCTTGTGCACCTTCCCAGTTTAGCCACTTCCTGACCTAGCTGTTGGCATGAGGTCTTGCTGGTTTAGAGCCAGTTCACCTCCATCTACCCTATGTGCAGTCATACCAGTGACTGTGTTCTAGACATGCTGATACTTCTGTTAGGAAAGCATATTCTCAGGAGAAAAGAAGGTGGTGTGCCCATCACATGCTTCTGGTCATGTATTGTGGGGAATAAGATGCTTATCACCTAGAAAAGATACTTGTCTTCAGGAAGATGTTTATCTCAAACCAAATGATTTTCTGTAATTTGAAGGTAGGTTTACAGCTCATGGCTGCATTATTTTTTTAACAGTAACTGTAACAACCGTGAGAGAAGTGTTTGAGGGGTCTGTTTGGCCCTAGCAAGGAACAGGATGGAGGATTTTGCTGCTGTGCAGTATAAAAATATTGGGTATAGAAGCAGGAGTATTGCTACCTTGTTAGGATGTAATATTATCTCATTTGAGAGCTTTGAATCGAAGTTGTTCCAAACTCCTGTTGTATGTTCTCGTTTTAAAAGCAAGGCAAGTCTTGACTTGTACTGTATTAATAGGTATCTGTTACCATAATGCAAAGAAAAGGAATATAAAAATAATTTAAATCAGATATGTAGTTCACTTTTTTTGGCTTTGTTTTCCAGGAACCTGAAGATGAAGTGTTTCTTGCTATTGCTAAAGCAATGGAGGAAATGGTGGAGGATCCTATAGAATGCTATTGGCTTGTCAGTTGTTTTGTGAATCAGCTAAACAGCAAGCACAAAGATTCATTACAACAACTGGTAAGGAAAAAAAAACGCCTTCTGTTTTTGGTTGTTTTTTGTTTGTTTGTTTGTTTGTTTTTCCAAGGAGAGCCAGTCATGGAGAGCATTAACATGTGGAGACAGCTGGAGCAGCAGAGATGACACCTTTGATTTCTCTTCACCACCTGTTTTGAGAAAATGGGAGTGCTTTTTGTATTGTGATTGTGCTGTCCTGTAGGACACTGTCTAACATAACATTAGAAATTGGTTTTATTTGCTACATCAATTACATCTTATTTTACTTTTAGGTTAGCTAAAGCTTACTTTGTATGTAGTTGAATTGTATTTCTCACAAATTGGTCACTTAAGAATTTTCTTTATTTTAAGCAATTAAAAATATCACAAAGTTAGGAACAACTTGTCTGCTACTTTTTAGGCTGCATCTCTGGCATCCATCTGCTAATTATTGGATGATAGACAAAGCACAATTGTTCTGTTTTTAAATGGAGCAGGGTACAAGATCTTCAGAAAATCAGTGTGTTACAAATTAAATTATAATGAAAAGTAGAATAGAGTTCTTCTGGCACTGATCGTTTAAATGCTCTCATTTCTTAATGGTTTGTAAAATTATAATTTCGTTGTAAAGAAAATGCATACTTACATGCATACTTATTTTGTAATTCTTCAAATTGTCTTAACAAATAAACTTGAGGTAACGCAGATTACTGACATAATAGTAGCCATGCATTAGCAATTGCTGAATGAAAATTAGTTGGAGAAAATTATGCATGTCCTTTGTTTGTTACTCTTTGGAACAAAGAAATACTTTTTAAACCCACTTCCTGTTGCTGGAGGTGATATATTCAGCTGTACCCATTTCTATAATTCTTTTCAAAGGACAGAAGAGCATTTTTAAAGTATGTGCTTTTGGTACAAAGAAAGAGTGAATTGCCTCCCTCCCTAAGTTTTTGTTTTAACACAAACATTGTACCAAGATGTTGGATTTTAGAATATGGACAAAGGAAGCGTTTTCTACCTTTGACAGGTGAAGTCATTAGCTGTCTACCTAATTATGGCAAAAAGCATAAAGGTACTTCCGAATTTATGAAAACGTGTATTATGTTAGATTAGAATTTAAACAAAATGAGTTATTCATATTTTTATGTGGAGAATTGTCCACATGTTTATACTTCTGAATAGTCTGGGTTTTTAAACAAGAAATTAATGTCCAGGTTTTAATCTGCTGCACAGGGATTTACTTCCAGAATTGATTTTCTGGGGTTTGCTGCATTGTGTGAAGATTTTTTTTTGATGTGTGCTAAGACGATTATGTTTGAGGTGAATGAAACTCAGTGTTACTTGTGAAGATGGCAGTAATTAGTGCACGTTTGATCTCTGCATTGCCTTAAGGTCTCAAACACCTCATTGCCTTAGGGAATGCTGAATACCGTCAGCAATTTAAGGAACATATGGTTGGTTGGTTAGTTAAGAAGTACTTAATTAGCTACTTGCAAAAGTCATCATGTATTTTGGCACATGATGTGTGTAGTTAAAACAACGCCAGTTCATTATTTCAGTACATTGTTTTATGAGATTGAATTTTTAAGACATTTTGTGTCTGTCTGTGTGTGTTAACTGTGGAGGGTACTCTGATGTGAGTTACCTAAAATTTTCCAATTCTTTTCACAGCCAAAAATTCTGGAGCAGTATTTGAACATTGAAGATAACCGACTGCTGATGCATCTAAAAGCATGTGCTGCCATGAGCAAACTCCCTTACGATCTTTGGTTTAAAAAGTGTTTTGCAGGCTGTTTACCTGAGTGCAGTTTACAAAGGCAAGTGATCTTTTTTTTTTCTTTCTGTTTGTAATTATATAGTAGTACAAGTTTTTGTCATTGCTAGCAGGCAAAGAGCTTTTCTTAATTTATTTGAAAGATTATGGAGTTTACTGTTGACTTGGAAATTATGAAATTGATTTGATTCCACTTGTTATTGATGCAAGATAATCTCTGTGTGATCATTTCTGGCACTGAAATTAAAAAAGAATGGAGTTAAATGTACTGGCTGATTCCATTAGGCACTTAATGACTCCTGAGATTTAAAACTACAAATCCCCTTTTAGTGATAGCTGAATGGTAGTTGGTTTTCAGGCTTTTTAACCAAAATCCTTGCTTAGGGAGTGGTTATGATACTGTATTATCATTAGATTAAAAAGATTTTGGAAATATGTACTGGTATTGGCTGGTAAAGAGTTATATTTCTTCATAGTAGCTGGTATGGGGCAATATTTTGGATTTGTGCTGAAAACAGTGTTGATAACACATGGAAATGTTTTAGTTGTTGCTGAGCAGTGCTTACACAGAGCCGAGGCCTTTTCTGCTCCTTGCACCACCCCACCATCGAGCAGGCTGGGGGTTCACAATAAGTTAGGAGGGGACACAGCCTGGACAGCTGCCCCAGCTGTCCCAAAGGATATTCCATACCGGATGGCATCATGCTCAGCATTAAAACTGGGGCAGAGGTTGTTGGGTGGGCTGCAACTTAGCAACTTGATTGGGCATTTAAAAGAGGAACACTCTTGTGCATGGATCTTCACGGAAGGGCTTTTGAAATGAAGCTTGTATTGTTTCTGTAGTTCTGCTGCGTGAGGACTCTTGGAAAGAAGAAAATTCAAGCTACACGTAGAAAAGTGTATCCTTTCTGCATTAGCAAGAGTTGCTAGTAGCTGAGCAGTAGGTGGCACAAAGAAAACAATGGTTTCATTTTCAGCTGCCTGAAAACTTTGAGCAGCAGCAAGGTTCAAGTGAAGTTTTACTCCAGGACTTCAGTGGCTGGTATAGGAACCTCGTGTGGAAACAGTGACCTCTGTAAAATGCTCTTCAGGAAGTGCTTTATGGTGTTTCAGTAAAAATGTTCTATTTGCCCGTATGAAAATAAGGGGTTTTAGGAACAAGCTATGTCATTAGAAATCATGCTCTCTAGTCTTGTCGTACCATGGTCTTTGAGGTTCTGTTTTGGCAAGGAATATGTCTCAGAGGAAAAAAAAAATTGAATGAAAACTGGAGGATTTGGTAGTAGACCTTTAGGTGTTTTGCTGTTTGCAGCATGGTAATTTTTACATGGTAAGAAGTGCTTTTCATCAACCACCTGTAATGCTGCAAATTAGGCACCTCTATGTAGTGTTTGTATGTGATGTGGTGGGTAAAAGCATCTACTGCTTTTATGGTTACAGAATTATGTAAGCATGCATGAAAGGTTTGTTACTTCCGTAAAAGCAGTTGAACATGTATGGTTTGCCTGTATCTTGATTTAACATTTGCATTTATAGGTCACTTTCAGTGGGTAATGATTGACCTTGTTTCATTATGCTTTCTTTGTATGAAACTTACTGCCTTGAAACTTAAATGACTGTCAGGAGAAGCGACTGTTCTACCTGGGACTTCCCAGCCTTTTCAGGCCTTTTCTTCTGTAGGCTTCTGTGATCTGAAATAGCCTTCGCACACTACTGCATAAGGAACCTCTTTACATGTCTTCTAGTAGCTAGTTTTCTTTAGAGTTTATGTGATTCAATTTTACTACTAGGTCTCAGAGCTGAGAACTTGAACTGAAAGAGGAATTTGCATCACAGCAGTTTTGCTCTTGGATGATTTGGGATTTTTTTAAAAATTTCTGCTGAAAATGTAACATTTTATGGAGCTGTGTCATCTTAGTAGTGTAAAAGAAAAAATGTGGATGAATTTTGATTTCATATTTCATCTTGTTAGAATCTTTTAGTTTTAAACTTCTATCATTTTGAATCGGTTAATTTTTACAAAATAGTTTGTATAGCTAGTGTGCTGTTCAGCATTGTTATATACTGTTTTACCTTACTGAAGTAGAATATGTTGATGACCAGAAATTTTTTTAATACATTCTTTTTCCTTGTGGAAAAGGTCAAAATACTGTCTTTTTGTATCACTCTGGAGTAAACCCAAATTTCAGTGTTAGTGCTTCTAATGGTGCAGCAATTCCTTTTCCCAACAGTTCTTGTGGGAACATGATAAAGGTGCACTTTTTATTGCCAGTTTAGGTTTCTGCATTATTTAGTTGTAATCATAACAGCCTCATTTGCTAAGGAAATAACGTACTTCGTGGGTAACATGTGACAGATGAACTTAATTAATGCTTGGATTGCTTCAGTTTGGATTAGAATCTAGAAGCCCAAATGCTTATCTGAAATGTATCCAAATGCCAGTGTTGGAACTGCTGAGAATTAAAAACAGGTCTCCAGTTCTCTGGGTTTTACTTAATTTTTTTAAGTGAGAGATGATCAGAGCTCAGTCTTATGTGATTTAATTTAACTTATGATTTAGCACTGTATTTCTTAGAGATGTTGCTTGCTTTTTATAAATTGTACGCATCTCTGCCAGGCAGCTGAATCTAAATTTCATGGTTTTGTCTTTTTCTCTAAGGTGTATAAGATTTGTATATGCTATGCAGAAATTTATCCAATACTGGTGATATGAATTTGAGATCCTCAGGACAGTGAGAAGAGCGTGCAGCAAGTTCACTGCCCTGGACTTCAAAAGAGCAGACTTTGGCCTCTTCAGGAACCTGCTTCGGAAGGTTCCATGGGATACAGCCCTAGAGGGCAGAGGGGCCCAAGACTGTTGGTTGATATTCAAGGATCACCTGCTGCAAGCTCAGGAGTGTTGCATCCCAACCAGAAGGAAGTGCAGCAGGAGGGCCAGGAGATCTCCTTGGATGGATAAGGAGCTGCTGAGGAAAAATCAATTGAAAAAAGAGGCTTATAATAAGTGGAAGCAAGGCATGGGAAGAGTACAGGGATGTTGTGCGGGAAGCTAGGGACCAGGTTAGGAAAGCTAAGGCACACTTAGAATTAAATTTAATTAATTAAATTAAATTTAATTAAAATTTAATTTAGCTAGAGGTATTAAAGATAACAGGAAGGGATTCTACAGGTACATAGCAAATAAAATACAGACTAGGGAGAATGTAGGCCCCCTCAGGAAGCTCTTGGGAGATCTGGCTACACAGGATTTGGAGAAGGCTGAGGTTCTGAATGACTTCTTTGCTTCAGTCTTCACTGCCAAAGGCTCTGACTGCACCACCCAAGTCTTGGAAGGCAGATGCAGGGCCTGTGAGAATGAAGACCTTGGGCCCACTGTAGGAGAGGATCTGGTTCAAGACCATCTTAAAAACCTGAACGTGCACAAGTCCATGGGACCTGATGAAATCCATCTGTGGGTCCTGAAGGAGCTGGCGAATGAAGTTGTGAAGCTGCTAGCCATCATATTTGAAAAATCATGGTAGTCAGGTGAAGTTCCCAATGACTGGAAAAAGGGAAATATAACCCCCATTTTCAAGAAGGGGAAAATGGATGACCCAGGGAATTACAGACCAGTCAGTCTCACCTGTGTGCCTGGCAAAATCTTGGAGCAGATTCTCCTGGAAGACATGCTAAGGCACATGAAAATCAACAAGGTGCTTGGTGACAGCCAGCATGGCTTCACTAAGGGGAAATCCTGCCTGACCAATTTGGTGGCCTTCTATGATGGGGCTACAGAACTGATGGACAGGGGTAGAGCAGTTGATGTCATCTACCTGGACTTGTGTAAAGTGTTCGACACTGTCCCACACAACATCCTTGTCTCTAAATTGGAGAGACATCAATTTGATGGATGGACCACTCGGTGGATAAAGAACTGGCTGGATGGCCACACACAAAGAGTTGTGGTCAATGGCTCAGTGTCCGGCTGGAGACCAGTAACGAGTGGTGTCCCTCAGGGATTGGTGTTGGGACCGGTCTTGTTCAACATTTTCGTTGCTGGCATGGACAGTGGGATTGAGTGTGCCCTCAGCAAGTTTGCCGATGACACCAAGCTGTGTGGTTTGGTTGATACCCTGGAGGGAAGGAATGACATCCAGAGGGACCTAGACACGCTTGTGAGGTGGGCTGATGCCAGCCTCATGAAGTTTAACCATAACAAGTGCAAGGTCCTACACCTGGGTCGGAGCAATCCCAGACACAGCTACAGGTTGGGCAGAGAAGAGATTCAGAGCAGCCCTGCGGAGAAGGACTTGAGGGTGCTGGTCGATGAGAAAATGAACATGAGCCAGCAGTGTGCACTTGCAGCCCAGAAAGCCAACCGTATCCTGGGCTGCATCAAAAGGAGCGTGACCAACAGGTTGAAGGAGGTGATCCTGCCCCTCTACTCTGCTCTTGTGAGACCTCACCTGGAGTATTGTGTGCAGTTCTGGTGTCCTCAACATAAAAAGGACATGCAACTGTTGGAACAAGTCCAGGGGAGGGCCACGAGGATGATCAGGACACTGGAGCACCTCCTGTATGAAGACAGGCTGAGAAAGTTGGGGCTGTTCAACCTGGAGAAGAGAAGGCTGCGTGGAGACCTCATAGCAGCCTTCCAGTATCTGAAGGGGGCCTATAGGGATGCTGGGAAGGGACTCTTCATTAGGGACTGTGGTGATAGGACAAGGGGTAACAGGTTAAAACTTAAACAGGGGAAGTTTAGGTTGGATATAAGAAGGAAGTTCTTTCCTGTTAGGGTGGTGAGGCACTGGAATAGGTTGCCCAGGGAGGTTGTGAATGCTCCGTCCCTGGCAGTGTTCAAGGCCAGGTTGGATGAGGCCTTGGGTGATATGATTTAGCGTGAGGTGTCCCTGCCCATGGCAGGGGGGTTGGAACTAGATGATCTTAAGGTCCTTTCCAACCCTAACGATTCTATGATTCTATGATTCTATGCGGTTGCATAATACCAGCTTTACTCCTGACAGACATTGTCATTCAGTGTAAATACTGGTTTATAGCACACTTATAGCATAGGTAAAATTAATGTACCAGTTTAATTTAAATGGACTTGGAAAATTCATATAGGCAGGTTTAATGTAGAAACTTTTCCTTTGATCTTAGCCAGTGTCTTTGCTAGCCCCTTTGCTTGCATTTGAAATATTATGCAACACACTTTGTAACAAACATTTACCAATGGTAAAAGAGAGGTAAAAGAAAGGAGCAGAGTGGGCATTTTGAAGGCACTGTATCTTCAGGGCTCTGCATCCCACCTGGAATATAGGCAGGATGCTTCCTGGGACATGAACTAGCCTGTAGCACAGGCAATAAAGGCTTACTCTTTGCTGAAACAGGGAGAGAACTGGATCACACCTTTTGTTTTTCTACCCACCATTGCTGTATTTACTCATTTTATGCAACAGTATATCTAGTCATCTGTTCAGTAAGCTCCATGTGTGGAGAGCTTTCCAGTGGTGCTGTGTAGGCCCTTAGCTGGAGAGCCCTGCTGTTAAAGCTTATTGTCCCTTCTGTGGCTTCTGCTCTACGGGCAAAATGGCGCTTTGTTTGCCAGTTTATTCCAGCAGTCACCCCAGGTGATCCAGCTGCATCAGTATTAGTGTGGCTTTGCAGATAAAATAGTGGTAAGCCAGGCATTTCTTATGGCCTCATTGTCAATTGAGTATCCTCCCCCTGACAGACACTGTTTGCATTCTGCACTGAAGACTTGGCATTAGCAGGACCGTAATAGCTGGTGGGGTGGTGTTAGGTTATTAGCCTCTGGTAACTTGTTTGTGGCAAAGTATTTGGTAGTTCTCTTGAAATGTCTTGACTGCCTTTCAGACTGGCACTACGTCATGTGTTAATGCATGTTTTCTAGAGTTTGACATCTGTCATCTCCATGTGCTGCATAAATTGCATCTAGTCATGAAAATGCAAGTAATTTGTTAGTAGAAACAACAGAAATATGAAGAATGCCTTAGATTTACTGTAGAGTGGGAGGACATAAGAATATTCATGTGGACTAGTATAGAGAAACTTAGGTTGATTTGCCTTTAAGTAACTCAGTTGCCTCGCACCTCTGGTAAGGACACCAGGAAGTGCAGGCAGAGGTTTAAACAGGTTCTCTTTGAATGTCTCTGGGTGACTGGAGGACCAAAACCAGGGAATAAGGTTGAGAGTGTTTACCCTGCAGCCTAGGGGCTGCATGAGAGGTGTGATATGTGGCATGTGAGGTTAATGACAGTATCTATGAAAAAGAGTGAGCAGCAGTGATGTGATGCTTTTTGCATACTGCTTGACAGTCATGGTTCAGGAGCCTCAGGAACTGTGTTGAGGGTAAGTTGTATCTTGTCTAGAGAAAAAAATCAGTGAAAAGTAAATGGGTTCATTTGCATAATCCTTGGCATGCTCTTTACCTTCGTAGCTTCTTGTCTTTATTTTTCCTTGCGGTTGTTACTGTTTTACTGTTCAAGAAATACTAGAGTGCTCCTGTGGTTAATTGAATACTTTTGTCTTTCACAGAGAATGATAGTCACAAAAACTATAATGAATTTATTGTGTGCTTTCTTTTTCATCATTCCTGAGTAGGGCTATAGGCACAGTTGCAGGACATTTCTGTTCTAGTTACCCCATCTCCAGGAGTATCAAAAAAAATGAGTAAAAAGTTGCAATCTCTGTCAGGAAACTTCGTCTTAAGTGCTTGCTGTTAACTTAAAAAGTGAAAGCAGAATACATAGGTTATCATCTCTAGAGACACAATGTGTAAAGGCTACTGTATTAGAATAGAATTAGCAAAATACATGTTTCCTTGGAACTGCTGTGGGTTATTTCTACTCTAATTAAACCCTTTGCTGACAGTTTATGTTGTCATTCCTGGCTGTTTTGGGATAGCAAGGTGTTGAGTGCTGCTCTGTTTATCACAATGTCACAGTCATTCCCCTGTTGCTGTTGCTGGTGGAGTAACAATAGCTGGAAATGTTAAAGTGAAAAATACTGCAGCAGACACAGCTGGTTAGTGCTGACAACTCATCCACTTTTCTGTGCACCTTCTTCCAAAACTTGGTAGACACTGATGATTTAGATACTATCTGTTTTGCCAGTGTTAAAACATTTGTTCTGGAATCAGACTAAATAGTGCAGGAGAGCGTGAAATGTAACCTCCTGTAATATAATTATGGAGACTCAAGTCAGAAGACTTGGAAGCAAAATAATGAAAGAAGGCTGGGTGTTTTGTATTAGGATTAGTAAATTTGGTTTTGAATTAGCCTGAACTTCAATATGAATGTTAAAATTTTTTTGCTGTTTTTGAGGTCTGCTGCTCTCAGTACTGTCATTCAAAACTTATAGTTCTGATGGCTGCGAAATGCTTGGGGAGCTGCTCTTGGATTGTAAACAGATACATTTGTGAAGGAAAATGCATTAGAAGTAAACAGGGTTGACCTGTCCAGTTTTCTCATAGCCTTGCTTAAAGCTTCTAGACCTGACTTCAACACCAGTGGGATATTTAACAGTGAACACTTGGCCTGGATGCTTGAATCACAAAGGAAGCAGTAAGGTTTTAAACTGAATTATTAATTGTTCCTGCCTATATTGGAATTCTTTTATTTTTTTTTAATCATAGTGAGACAGGGAATTAAGACTGAATTGTAAAGGTGAAAGAAATAGGCAGTACCTTTTTACCCATCTGTCTCTGTATGGCTTTTGTTTGTTTCCTTTCTTTTATTTTTTAAGAGTAGTCTTGAGGATTTGACATACTTCTTTCCTCATTTCTTCACTGTAAGTTAAATTCTGGTCTTTTTTTTTTTTTTTTTTTTTTAAGAATGAAGAGGTGGTGAATACAGTGTCAAAAGAATTGTATGAATAGAAGGTTAAGAAACTGACCGAGAATTGACTTGAGTTACAGTGTGAAAAATAAGCATTGTGTAACAGCAGCAAGCATTTGGCATTAGGAGTTACAAATGCTTTTCACAAAAAATCACAGAGAGGTTGGGGTTGGCAGGGACCTCTGGATGTCATCTGGTTCTTCCAGCCCCTCTGCTCAAGCAGGAAGTTGCCCTGGGCAGCCCGTGCCAGTGCTTGGTCACTGTCACAGTGAAAAAGTGTTTCCTGATGTTCAGAGAGAACCTCTTGTGTTTCAGTTTGTCCTTCTGGTCCTGTCACCGGGCACCACTAAGGAGAGCCTGGCTCCATCCTTTTTGCACTCTCCCTTCGTGTATTTATACACATTGATGAGTTCCCCCCTGAGCCTTCTCTCCTTCAGGCTGAACAGCCCCGGCTCTCTCAGCCTTTCCCAACAGGAGAAATATTTCAGTCCCTTAATCATTTTAATGGCTCCTTGTTGGAGTCTCACTTCTTAACTCATTTAAAGGTGTGACACCCACTCTTTAGTTCAGCTGTCAGAGTTCATGTTATGCCTGCATTGTGTTCTCCTGGCATTCAAGGCTGAAGGGCAAGTTCTGAGAAAAGGTCATATAAAAGTTGACCTGTCTTTGGAAGAAGCACACCCATAGATCCAAGTTTATGGGTTGGCTGCAAAAGATGTTTTCCAGTTAATGTTACTGTATTCAGAGATTGTGGAGGATAGTATGTGATCTTTGTCCTCCATGGTTTTATTTGGAAGGAGAAATACTGTTAACAAGTGCCCAGGGGGAGCAAGAACAGTAATCCTCAGAAAGTCTTTCTGACACAGCTCTTAAAATTCAAGAACTAAAAATAAAGCAAACTCATAAAAGCTGCCATCTGACAGATGGTTTCACACTGGTTTTGGATAATCTTTCATCCCGAGTCTGTTGAGTTGGGACTGAGATAGAGCTGCTGGATGAAGGATGATTTCAGATTGTTGCAGGCTGTTTTGGTAGTGAGGATCCTTTTTAATATTCATCGAAGTTCTGTTGCTAAAGTACCTGCAGCCTTTGGAGGCCTGCCCTTTAGCTTTTGTTAAAATTGTGAGATCCAGGGACAGTTTCCTACAAGTGGTAGGAATGCTTAGGTAATTCTGAGAGTCTGTGCACACAGTGGGATGGATTGAAAGACTTAATAGTTGTTCTTCCTGTCTAATTTCAACATCACGGCTTGTATCCTGCTGATGCATCCTGTTTGCTTCTCATACAGCAGTGACCTGGAATACTTAGATTCTTGAGATGTAGTTGCTAAGTATTACATCTTTCTGAATTCTCAGCTACTTAGCTGTCTGAAGAGTGTCTTTATTAGGCATTGTAATAAAGCTTGTTTTCTTTTTGCACTAGGAAAAATTCACACCTATACCATATGCTGTAGAATTGTTGTCACAGTTCAGGCTATTAAAACAAGATTTGATTTCTGTATTTGAGCTTGTAAACAGTCCCATTTCTAAACAAGACCACACCATATCAGTATGTTATTATGTGCTGTCACTCTGCTCTCTACAGATGCAGGAGTTGATAAAATGTCTTTTGTTTACCTTGACTGGAATAGTTCAATACATTACTGTTATTCAGAGAAAAAATCTGGAAAAATGGGATTATGCGAAGACTGTTCTAGCAGATAAATAAGCAGATAAGCACTACATAATGTTTGGTTATTCCTTTTCATTTTTCTTTTTTTTGTAGAGTTTGGGACAAAGTTATAAGTGGGTCCTGCAAGATTCTTGTTTTCGTTGCTGTGGAGATATTACTAACCTTTAAAATGAAGATAATAGCACTGAATACTGCAGAAAAGATCACACAGTTTTTGGAAAATGTAAGTACTCTGTTGTGCTTCGCATTACCTTTTATGGTTTATAAACATGTCTTTCATCCTTAGTCATTTGCGTGTTTAAAACGTACCATAGGATACTATCCCTTACTTACTGAGAATAATACAGTAGTACCAAGGTGAAGAGAGAATGCGCAGGCATGAGAACAGTAGTTTTTTTCTGTCCAGAGGTAAGGCTTTCATAGAGTGAAGGCTTTGGCAATGTCATCCATGTTTGTACAGATTTGGCAGTATTCCTTGTGATACTGAAGGGCTTTTCTGTGAAAGTAAGTGCAGGTGAGGTTAGGTTAATGTTTCTGGAAGCTCCTTAGAGGGTTGGTTTCTGTCACTTTCTTTGCTCCTTGTCTGAATGTGAATCTATAGCGTCAGGGTATGTTTTCTGTTGATGTAAGGATGGGGTCATTAACATGACCCCGAACTTTCCTGCTGAGAATAGTAGTGAGCATCACAGCAGGGCTGTAGGATCCCAGTGTAACCTAGGTTAGTTAGGTTAGACGTGTTTGTGGTCATGGATGGTCAGTACGAATTCTGTGTGATGTCAGGTTAGAAATGTCTGAAGTGTGAGATGCCTGGTGGTCGCCTTACCCTTTTGTAAATAGAGGGTTTTTGTTTAAAACCTGGAAGCAATATGATGCATGAAGGACTGAGGGATGGTGGGATGGTAGGGTGGGGAGATGGGATTCTAGTTTAGTTTTCTTTTTTATAATGAGAGAAAACCTGAACTGGAAATTAAAACCTGTATTTTAAATCAAATAGTCCATATGAAGTACTCTGACAAGGCATTTTGTCCTGATCTTTTGTAGATTCCTCAAGATAACACTGATGCTATTGTCAGCAAAGCTGTTGATCTGTGGCGCACACACTGTGGGACTCCAGCACACTCAGTCTGAGAACTTTCTTTGCTTATGACAGCTTGGGGAGAAAAAGGACATTTGAAAAGACATTTCACCACTCTTCCCCTATCCTAGTGTGATGTTCTTCATTACCTCTTTTATGTAAAGATGCTACTAAGGCAGCTAATAGCATGGTGATCAATATGTAAATATTTTTCAATAAATACAGATGGCATAAAGATACCTAGTGGCAGTGTGATCATGTCCAGAGTGTTTCCTGGCCAGCCAGCTACAGTGCTCTGATTGCACAGTGTGTGCACTGCCTTTTGGGGAAGTGAATGTGACTCTTGAAGCAAGGTAGATAGACTTGTAATTTAAAAATGTTTTTGTATGCCAGTTTATACTTGATATAACTAGTTAGTACTTGGAGGTGTTATAAGGTGAATTTATTAAATGTTAGTGTGCTGGAGCTCATTGGTGAATACTAGAAATGTAACTGTACTCTATTAGTACTGTAAAATTTCAGGTAAATATTCAAGAAGAGGCATCACAAGTTTGAGGTAGAGGGCATCACAGTGATCCAGGGTGGCATGCATTTCTGAAGTGACTTAAAGTATTTTCTTTTTGTTTGTCAGCCAGCTTTCTCTGGCTGTACCTCCTCCTTTGTTCTTCAGGTAAGATGCTGTAGAATAGTGAATCTGTTTTGTCCCAAAATGTAGCTTTGGGCAGGTATGGAGAAAATCAGTGGGACGAGTCAATATAGTTCTGAATTACAGTCCAGTATTAAACAATGCCTCTGTTGAATGCTTAGCTCAAGGTTGTAATTTCATTCTTGTTTGGTTTAGATTTCAAAATAAATTTAACACACAAATGGAATTCATTATGTCAGTAAAAGTAGTGTGATTAGCCATAGGTAGTGATTTGCTGGAGAACTGATCTTTTTCTTGTAAAAGTGTAAAATCCTATTTCTACATCTTGCATAGACCAGGGAATTGTATATAAAAATGTGTTGCTTAGCTGTTACTTGTCTCAAATTGATGCTTAGTATGCCATGCGCCAAGTATGCTCATGGCACTTGAAAGAGTGTGTTCAGCTTGCAGTCAGTGTCATGCAGACTTGAAATGCTTTAGAAAGTTAACTTTAATTTTAAAGTAGGTCAGGTTTATCTTCCAAAACATACACTGGGGAAGCTTGGGACTTGGTGCAGGCTACACCTAAAAAAAACATGGGTAGATTATTTGTGCTGGATTCTGAGATGCTGCTGTTGGTGTGTCTGGAAATGTCTCATTTCCCTCAGTTCAGAAAAAAACGTTTGTGTCTGCTCTGAAAGCCGTTGCTGTGTCTGTATTGTAGTGCAATCCATTTAGTTCACTTCAGATGGGAGCTTGTTTTCCTAGCCTAGGCATGAAAGCTGGGTAACATGGATAGGAAAGAGCATATGCATTCTGTGAATAACAGCACTGAATTCTGTAACATGCAGTGCACAAGATTTTCAAGTAGTGGCTGCAGGTGCAGTCTGAGAGAGTATCCATTTGATCATTTTTCCCTCAGGCTGCACAGCTTACTCACAAAACCTCCAAAGTCACATACACATTATTCAGACCTTTAGACAGCAGATTACTTAGTCAGTAAAAAAACAAGCAGTGATGACACTGGAGGTGTTAAGTAGTTTCAGTCCTGAAAGGAAATCAATAACTCGTATTCTGTGAAGAGAGATGCACTGAATCAGGATTAGAATTACCCGTTAGTGTTATTGCTCCCAGACTTGCCAGTGAGTGCTCTCAGTGATGATCACTGTTTGACTGGAGGCTCTAAACGTTGCTTTCTGTGGGGCAGTTAGTTTTTAATTTAAAGCCTTTTTCCATCAATAGGCAGGTCCTGGAGCTGCACAGATGAGAGACAGAGGTCTGCCTTCACAGAGTCATAGAAGGGTTGAGGCTGGAAAGGACCTCTGGAGGTCACTGGGTCCAACCCCCTGCTCAAGCAGGGCCACCTAGAGCCAGTTGCCCTAGACCATGTCCAGACAGCTTTTGAATGTCTCCGGGGAGGGAGAGTCCACCGCCTCTCTGGGCAACCTGTGCCTGTGCTTGGTCATCCTCACAGTAAAAACCTTCCTGTTTCCACATGAGCAACAGCAGTTTTACTTAAACATATTCAGCGTATGTGGGATGGATCCTCAAACGTTGCTCCACTGTAATGTCAGCTGATGTTTGTATGCAGCTTTTTCAGTTTCATGTACAAAGAACAGGGTGTTTCTTTAATGGAGTTCATTATTTCTTCTGGGCTATGCTGAAAGAGGGGAGTTCTCTAGGGAATAGATAGTGGTTTAACTCCATGCTTCCTTCACTGATCTCATAAGAGATATTCGTGTGTATCTGAACAGATCCATTTCCGGGCTTTCACTGTGGATTTATGAGGGATACAGTTTATGCAGAAAACTGACTGAATTCCCAAGAGACTGAAAGTATGAATCTGGCTAACTTACACTCAATTTTTTGTGATGCCTGCTCAGTTGAACATAAGGCGTTAGCTCTGAGACCTGCTTCCCAAGAGAGCACAAAAGCAAGATTTCACTGTCCCCACCATATGATGATCAGGGTGAGGCTGAGGCAAGACAGCTTAGAGTGGAATCCGCCATTTAGGCAGCCTTGGTCTGTGGTTCCAGCTTGGAGTTTGGCATATGTGGCTAACAATTGCTTTTGTACCTCTTGAACACCACAAATAGTGTAGTAGGCAGTTCAAGTTTGGTTATTTATCTGCTGTGGACTATTGCCTTACGCAGATGATTTTGAAGTTGCACATAGTTGAGCCTCCAATGCAAATCCCTGGCTAGGTAATATGGGAAAGGGGTTACCTTTGCTATTTGTTTTCTGTTACCTCTATGTCATTCAGGAGGGAGTGTGGATGTTCATTTTTCTTGAGAAGCTTGAAAAATGAGGTATTTTGTCTTTGTTTGCATTATTTCTCCCTGACTGGCAGAGCATGTAACTGCTTGTTGCGTGCCTGTTTGTTCATAAAGAACTAGCTGCTGAGAGTGTTTTTTGGTTTATTCCCCCCCCCCCTTTTTTTTTTTTTCCCCTGGAAACAATAGAAACAACACTGAAGCATTCATGTTGGAGAGTGAAAGCTCCCCCCTCAAGCCTTCTCCTGCCAAATATCTTCATGGGCTTTGAAAACAAGAAAAATACACTTAATTTGGTCCAGTTCTTCCCTCAAGCAGTACTTTCTCTCCAGAGAGGTTTAGAGCAATGCCACATGTCTGTGCTCTCCTGTGTTGCATGAACCAAATCTTTTCCAGCTGATGTCCAAATGTGATGGAAACTCCAGATAAGAAAAGTAATGGCAGATGTCAGAGGATGATGCTTGAAAAAAGATGAGTGATTTGAGGTCTGCCAAGGGGCCTAAGAGTATGTGAAGAAAAGTGTAAGAGTGTGGAGACAGACGTGGCTGAAGTACAGTAATTTAGAGCTGATCAAGTAACAGTGTTGGAGAGTAGGTTCCTGCTGGTAAGAGCAAAACTTCCAGGGACACATGGGATGACTTCAGTTGAAGAGGGTGTCTCTCTGAACACTGGCGTTCCTAACCACGCAGCACAAATTCACTGACCAGCCAGGCTTTCATGCATTCTGCAACTTAGGGAAAGAATTCTGTAAGCAATTTTTGTACAATGGCTAGGCAATGCTTGTCTGGGTGAGTGCAGGATGGTGGTGCACCTCTGCATTGTGCCCTGATGGATGTGGGGATGACGGAGTGCACACCAGAAGCTATCAGCTTGCGCTGCTCAGGAGGGTGGCCGCTTTGTCCCATGCAGACTGGCTCAACTGTGTGACCAGGGCATGGCCATGCTGTTTGTTTTGGACTTGGTTGCCAGGGAGCCCTGATCTGAGCTGTGAAGGGCAGAATCGGAGGTGAGGAACATGATAGCAAAGCAGTCTCACCCCATACCTGCACCAAGGGCACTGAGCTCTTAGCCAGGTACTGCTAAGCAGCACTGTGGTTTTGCATGTGTGACAGTTTAATAGGAAATTGTGGGGTTTTTTCAGCCTTCTCTGTTTCCAACCTAAAGGTGGTGTTAGATTGCAGTTTTGAGTGCTAGGAATTACATGGACTTTACTGAAGACACAGTAGGTTAGTGAGAACTTGTGCAAAAGGAAACAAAGAATTTGGTCAGTTAAAGTATATGGACCTTTCATTTTTATGTAGTGGGAAGGCTGGGTGCATCAGAGGAGGGAAGCGGCTCCCACCTGCCAGTTACAGTGAGGATGCTGGTGCTGGTTGTCTCTTAGGGGTCCAAATTTTTGCACCATCAGTTACGAAAACTAAAGAGCCTACACAGCGCTGTTACCTTCTGTGCTTTCTGCAGGCTGCTAGTGAGACTGTTTGAAGGTACGTACTTACCCTGGTCAAGAAGGTTTTTCTTCACCCTTTCACACTGGCTGCAGCTTGTCACAGCCTGAAATGCTGTGCAACCACAGAAGCTACTGAGGAAAAGGTGATAAGGTGTTATGGAAGTAGGTGGATGTGCAGGTACGGCTCTTCTGCTGCAACAGCACTTGCTAGTACTGCTCAGTGATGTTTGCTATAACCACAGGGTGCTGCATAGTGGACAAAAACTTGTGAACAGGGAAGGGAGAGTTGGGTTTGGGTTCCCAGTGTTAGGGGGTGTGAGTGTGTGTCTAGTGCAGACTGTCGGTTTTCCTCCTTTACTAGCCTGGTGCTGGGTACAACTTAAGCAGCTGAGGTACCAGTCATCTTCCTTCACACATCTTTACTGATCCAGCTCACGAGACAGCACTAGTGTCTCAGTTGATATGGTGTCCCCTCAATCTGTTCTGGTAAGTCTTGTTCTGCTTTGCTTCCCACTGAGGTGTGAGCATGCTGTGGGCATGCACTATGTCGCTGCAGCTGCCAGGCTGCAGTGCTGAGCCTGGCTGGCAGCAGGAGGGCTGCTATCCTCTACTGCATCCCTTTGTTACATTATCAATCACTGGGAGAGAGGGTGATAAAATACACAGGCACAGGAATGCTTTTTTTAAATGAATTTTTTTAAGAAACTGCATACATCAGAGACAAACAATAATTTAAATACCATGCAGTTTCAGTATGTACAAAAACTAGGACATAGAGATCCAGTTTAATTTTTTTCTAGTTATTTACATCATTTTCATACAGCCATAATCTGTTAAATTACAATACTGGAAGAGCACGATTAACAGCCACCACACTCACTCCTATACAAAGAC